TTCCTTGAAATTCACAGCTGAAAATCAACGCAAACTCATTCAGCAATTACCCAGGAGAAAACTTCTATTTTGTAAAGTGACCATTGTGCTTTCAGGACCTCTCTGAAAACTTCTAACAATGTTCCACCCTTGGGCTTTTCCATCCTCCAATCCTTAGCTTGAAAGCTTGCATTCTCCCTAGCTGTTCCTTTTAAAATATGCCTTTCTAAAAACTGCACTGAAGTGAAAAATGTTCAAGAAGAACTCTGTTTTATTATTTTAAACAGCAAAGGTAGCTCTCCTGCCTCGATCCTGGCATCTTAAAGATTTTTTACATTTTGGCCAAAAATAGCATTAAAATAAAGCAATTCCCACCTTCCTATGTTACAGCCAACAAACTGATTGCATTGTTACTGAATAACATCACCTCTTTGGAATTAGGCTGCCAGCTGAGGTCTTATTATAGTAGTGAATTCACACAGCCACAGTTAGCAATGTCAGCATTTCTATTATAATAGCTTCTTCCTACTCCTACTCTTTTTCCTCAAAGGAATGAAATTTGGACTTAAAAATGAACTTAAGGTTGAATCACTGACAAGATGATCCCCAACCACCAGCCCATGGCTTGTCATTTTAGCACATTTCTGACAAGTTGGAGTATTTTTAAGTTCAGGCCCAATCATGTGTTCTTTCTGCATCCAGAACGAATATGCATCCAGAGAATACAGCACTCAAACCCAGTACCTTCATGGCTTGAATTCCTTAACAAATGTGTTTTTAATAATCTCTTCATTTCAGGGAGCCACTGCTTTTAGAGCTGTGCCTACAGAAAGATGCATTCTGCCACAGCTTCCCTTCAAAAACACACTTCAGAACACAGATGTCACACAGGCAGCATGTTTCTCAGAGGCACTGGCAGCAGTGAACTGCTCGATGCAGAGGTTGTGAAATGCAACCAGTGGGGCTGCACCTGGGAAACAGGAAAACACGCTCACCATGAAAAACTTCTGCAGTGTGCTCTAGCTGGGACGTGCCATGGGGACTCCATGGAAACCACACCAGCTGCAACTCAGCAGCCTGCATGCTGAGCACGGCCATCCACATGCTCCACACTGATGCTCGCCTTCTTCCCTGACGCTGACTCCACATCTCTCCCCAGGTGCCCACATCTGAGCCACGTGTTTGCCCAAACGGATACTGAGGAACCAGCTTGAGCACGCATTGGGACAGGGAGGCTGAGGGGGGGACAAGGCAGAAGATCAGCCCCCAGCCTGCTCACCAGGCCTCAGAACCACGAGGAGGTTTGGGTTCTCCCTGAAAGACAGCATGACGCCAGCAGGGTACGCAGCCAAGAACCAAGGAGGCAGCTTTCACTCAGCCTTGGGCCCACCCAAGCTCAGCCCCTCAGAATTTCCTGGCGACCCTGGGGCACACGGGGCTCGGCCACCCCCTCCCAGCCCCGCAGCCCCTCGGGAGGTGGCCGCGACGCGGGCACTTACGTTGAGGCGGGCGCCGTCGGAGCGCTGCGGGCTGCACACCGTGGTGCCGTCGGGGCTCTCACGCGGCAAGGAAGGGGTTGGGGGAGGCCATTTCGCTGTTGGAAGGGTGAATTTGTGCTCCGACAAAGCCGTCGGTTTATTCCGAAGGAATAAAAATACATTGTGCAGGAGCTGAGGGGGGCTGGGAGGGGAAGGATGTGTGACTCCGGGGGGTCCGGCCCGGCCCGGCCCGGCCCGCGGTGCCCGGGGAAGGAGCGGCCGCGCCGTGCCCGCTTCCCACTCGGCTCTCTGATCCGCTAATCAGCGGCAGCCGCGGGCCGCCGTGAGTCACCCCCGGCCGCATCAGTCTTTGCCGCGCCGTTGGCAGCCAGACGAGCCGCGGCGCGGAGCCGCCGCTGTCCTCGGATGAACCCGGCGGGGCTGCCAGCGTCAGTCGAGCGCTTTGCGAGGCGAGAGCCGGGTCCCTGCCGGCGCGGCGGCGTGCGGCACCTCTTCGGCGGGGCTGGCGGCGACGGGGCGGGGGGCGGGAGCGGGGGGGGGCGAGCCCCTCGGCGGCCGGGCCGGAAAGGTAAGCGTGGATGGAGTACGGAAGGGGGAGGGAAGACGGTCAGCGAGAGGGCACGGAGCGGCGGGAAGGGGCCGCCCGGCTCCGAAGGGGGGACTGCGGCCGCCTCGGGATGCGGGAAGGGGTGGGCACGAATTGGGAGGTGAGCGGAGGAGACCCCCTCTGTGCACTGGGGATCGCTCCCGACAGCGGGGATGCTCGTGGCAATGCCTCCCCCATCTCTACCCTGTTAAAAAGAAAAAAAGCCAGCAGCCTTTGCCCCGCTGTGCAAACAGGCTGCTTCTCTCGGGCTAAAGGCGTACCGCTGCCCCTTATTACCCCGCTCCCGGCGGCCGCGGGTGGTGGCAGCGCAGCGAGGCAGCTGTTGGCAGCTGTCGGCGATGTCTCGAAAGCCGCGGGCAGGGTCACGGCCGTGCTCCCACCGGCGCGACCTGGGGGGCATCGCCTTCCTCGGCCTCTCCGTCCGGCCCTATATCTCCTATGGGAGCTAGCTTCATTTCTCCGTCCTGCGCCCTCCCTATCCCCGTAGCTGCAAAGGGCCGCTCCCTAAGGACAGGGCAGGATGCCCGTGCTAAAGATGAGGAGAAGGCGAGGGGAAAATATGAGCCCCCTGCGACCCCCCCCCCCCGGGAAGGCAGGGGCTCCTGTCTTGGGTGGCCCCAGCACCGCGCTTCTCTCGGGGCTTTCTGCGAACCTCGGAGAACCCCCGGCCCTGCTCACCGAGATGGGGTCTGGTGGGGCGAGAGAGCCGTGCCCCCCAGGAGCCGCTCATCACGCAGAAGTGCCCGGGGAAGGACTTTTAGGGGATTTCTCCTTTCGGGAAAGTTAGAGGGGAGCGGTGGGGAGATCAGAGCCCCTCTTTGCCTCGGGAAAGAGAGTCCATTTCGCTCCACCAGGGCGGTGCAGCAGGTGCCGCCAGGCCCCTTCCCTTCTTCCCCGCTCCGCTCGTGAGAACAGAGCCCGAGAAAACCCAGGGACAGCACCTTAACAGCCGTCATAATTAAAAACAACAACAACAGCAAAAAACCCTTCTGCCTGGCCTTAATGATCCTTTACACACATTCCCCGCCCGCTCCCTCCCCCGTCCCCCCGTGAAGGACAGTGATTATTCGCACTCCTCTGCTCGCCGAGAGCGCAGCCCGATGAAAGGACTTTATCCTCGAGTGACTCCACCGCTCGCTCCTCCCCCCCTTCTCCTCCTCCCCCCGCAGCCTGCCAGCCGCCTCGCTTCGCTCTCAGCCCTAATTGGGCTCTTGCTAATATGATTAAAGCCCAGTTAAATGTTTCTTGATAAATCTTGTCAAGAGAGGATCCCCCCCATCCCCTCCCCTCTCTCTGTCGCTTGCCAGAAGCCCGGTTACAGACGGGACATGCCCGGCTCCCGCTGTTCATGCTCTGGTGGGAAGTTGGCATTTCACAATTGTTCCTTTAACGGGGCTGTTTTGGAACCGCTCCTGGGGATTGTTCCTCTTCAGGCCGGGCTCGCTGATAAGAACCGCCCGTGGCTTTTATGTAACACGTTAGGATTTGGTCCCGCTCCCAAAATCGCGCTGTTTCTTTGGCCTTTTCTCTTTCATTTCCCCACCCCCACCCGTCGGGGAGCTGTCGGGAGCCCGTTCCCGGAAAGGCTCTCTCTCTATGCGATCTCCGTGGCACAGCCCGGCGGAGCGCAGCGCTGCGGGCGGACCCCGCTCTCCGCCGCCTACGGGGGCTGCCCCGCTCCTTTTCGGGAGCCCTCCCCAAGGCTGTCCCGTTGGTACGAGCAGCCCCGGCACCCCGCAAGTGTTAGGAGCTTCCCCTGCATCTGCTTTCTTGCTGTTGCAATATAATGGAGCTCGGGGATGAAACCCCACCCGACCCCGTTGTCAGTAGGGGAATCTGGTTAAACTCGAAGGAATTAGGAACGAGCGGACGATGGTGGAGGGGCGAGGGGGTTCCTGTGAGACCGACCCCCGCTGGCTGAAAGCCGGCTGTCCTCTCCTCGCCTTTTGGGGGCAGCTCGTGGGGTGTGCTGGTGGCTCGCTCTCTTTTATGCTTTCTGTTTTCTTTGGGGGTGCCGAGCTTCGAGGGCGTTTTGTTGTTCTTTCTTCAGCGTTACTGAGCTGAGGGTCCCGGGTAGGTGAGAGAGGAGGATTATTTAGCTGTTTAGCCATGGGCTGGCGGCTCCTCGGTGCGTTTCCCGATAGCCCGCCGGTACCCAGGCTCCAGTCCACACCTCTCGTTGACCCCGCAGCCTTACCACAGCCCCGCATCTCCCCACGCACCGCAGTCCTCTGTGGGAACCGAGGGTGCGGGCCGCCGGGGGACGCGGACTCGCTGCCTCTGTCTCCCGCTCCGGGGAGAAGGAGGCGGCTTCGAATACTCTCACCCGTTGCAAGCCCGCAGACCGCTGCGGGGCAGGACACGGGCGGCAGCGCCGGTGCGGGAGAAAGGATCGAGAGCGAAGTGCGGGGGCCAAAACCGAACAAACGAAAAAACCAACACCGGCACACAGGAGCGCAGCTCCAGCGACCGTGCCCATTCCCTGGGCAAAGAGAAACCCGAGGCGAGGCTCAGCACGGGGATCTGTCGCGCAGCTAAAGCCGGGGAAGCGGGCAGAACCCCGGGCGGGGCGGGCAGGGACGGGGGGTCTGCCGCGCTGCTCCGACCCGGCACAGCGTCGCCCCCTTCGGCCGAGGTCCCAGCAGCGGTTTGCGGATGGTTCCCTCTTCCCCTCCCCTTTCCTCCTTCCCTGTCATATCCCCCCCCGACCCGCCCCGAGGGGTCTGGGTTTGTGCAAGACCACAGAGCTGCGGCCCCTTCGCCCGGGGCTGTTGGTTTACTCGAGGAGAGTCCTAAATAAGAAGCTGTTTGTACTCGAGCTGGAACGCTAGAGGCTTTCTAAGAATGGCTCTTTTCTTACTCTTTTTTTTTTTTTTTTTTTTTTTTTTTTAATTTATTTTATTTTTATTGGTACATCGAACCAGCCTACAGCATTGCTGGTGCCTTTCCACCAGGTGCCTGGGGCTCAGAGGAAAATGTAAATGGATCTTAAAATTATGAGACAATTTCCCTCCCTTCCTCCCAAATAAAATAATTATAAGAGAAAGAATTGGTAAGAACGGATGAAGAAGGGATTGAAGATGGAAACAGAAAAGCAGCTTCACCCCACCAGAGCAGGGGGGACCCAGAAAGGCCTTCCACAGGCAGGAAGTTGTCCAAGCAGCTGGAAGATGGTTTGCGTACCAGCCTCTGAGATGTGGTTACCACCCACAGCAAGGGACTTGACCCCTTGGTCCAAAACATCCCTCCTAAGCCTCTTCCCATAAAACAACTTGTCTTTCTATACACCAAAAGAATCTCAAAGTACATTGCACACATTAAACTGTCATGCTTCACACCACACTTGTAGGCATGGTCTATATTCCCATTCTACACAGAATGAACTGGTTTGTTCCGGGTGTCACACCCAGGTTAGGACACCCAGTGCATCCCCACTCAGCACTGCTCTGCTCACTGAGGACCCAAATGAGATGGGGCTGTTAGGAGCTGTGAGGCTGTTACATGCAGACGTGAGAGGCTGCCCTGCAAGGTTCAGGAAATACTCGTTCTGGATGTTGTTTTAAAGTTGAGTATACAGTCTCAGGAAACATACCTAGAACTGGAGGTTTTAGGTTTTGGACTCCCTGCATTTGACTGCTGTAATTGCTGGACTAAACTCCAGTTAGCCTCCATAAGCAGCCTCCGTTACTCTTAGAGGAATCTAGCTGAACTGACTGTGGGATTTCCTGTTCACCTGACTTACAAATCCATCACTTTCCTTCTGAATAAATGAACGGCACTGGCTGGTACTCACGCCTTAGATGTAGACAGAAAAACCTAGACTCGAATCTACTTGCTTTTCTTATGCAAATCTTCTCACAAGATTAGAAGGGAAAGTAAACAGCAGCTCCAGCCTTAAGATCTTTTTTTTCTTTTAAGAGGCAGCCTGTTGTATAAATCTGAAACAGAAACCGTTTCCATTTGAAGATCAAATAGAAGTTATCTACTGAAGCTGACAAACAGGGGCAGAATAATCTGTTTGCATTTTTGGGAAATGGATAGCTCTGGTTTTGTTTCAAGACAAGTAACTTTTAAACAATATTTAACGAAATAATTGACCTTGATGTTTAAACTACAACTTCCTTCACGTCATTAAGCCCACTGGTTTTTTGTTGTTTTTTTTTTTTTTAATGTTTAGTATTTGAACTCTGGCATTCATTCTACTAATCCCATAATAACATTTGTTTCTAGTGGGATTTTATTTGATGAACTCATCGGTAAAAAAGGAGAGAAAGAGTTCAGAACAACACGAGCTTTACAGCTCATTTATATTTTCTCCTCTCTGAAAAAAATAGCAAAAAGACATGTGCTAAATGACTTTTCAGGAATAACTTTGCAGATGGAAGGAACAAGGAGAAGCTTTATACAGCTTTATATAAAGCTTTAGGAAAAACTGTGCTCTTTTAACATACATTCTGACTTTCAGAATGCACTGCAATCCTTGACTGCAAATAATGATTTGGGTAATTTGTCTTCATGATAATTAGGATCTGAGTCTGCTTTTGAAATGTAGGAAAAATGGAAATAACTCCATAAAGTGTATCTATCACATAAAGCTTTTAGGACAGCCTGATTCACAGTGTATCCTGCTCTTTGTTCAGCTGACAGATTTCCAGCAGCCGAAAGAGGCACATATCTGGGGGCTGCCATTATCTAAGCTAAATATGTACATTTTGGATCAGTTCTATTTTATTTGAATACTCACAACTTCTGCTGGGGGATCATAAGCATGAAAGGACCGCGGAGATGTGCATTTTATTAGCTATCCATCAGTCTTTGTGCACGGACAAAGGTACATAAACATACACATTTTCTGAGCTCTCAGCTCAGCAAGACTTTAGACAGTACATGCAGTAAGATTTCAAATAAAAACAAGCAATCAATCAAACAACAAACACACTGCCATGCAAAAAAGCAAGCACATAATTTGGGGGAGGTGGGAGCACTAAAGCAATAAATGAACATGTAGAATTTAGCCTAATTTTTATTTGACTGTTAATGAAAAATATTGTGGCAGCAAAGGATTATTTAAGTTACGGAATCCTGGAATTACAAAACACTGATATCTACCTAAATGCTGATGTGTACCCTTGCACGTAATGTACTCATACACAGATAAAAGCTCTTCCTTTATCCCCGCTGGCACAAATTTCATCCTTTCAATTTGTGGACATATGAGGAATCAGGTTGCTTTACTCTCAACAAAGGGCACCTATCTACCATTTGAAGCACTTAAAAATATTTGAATTCCCTCCCCAGTGCACAAACAGCCAACTCAAAAACTATTGCAGGCTCAGGATCTAGAGAACGCGATGGTGTTACGCAATGGGTGGTGTGACGTTATCTGGTGATCTGAGCAGGGTCATGCTGGTCATGGGACAATGCAAATTCCATGTCAGGCATCATGCTGATACAGGTTGTCTGCAGCTTCACCCCAATGACAAGCAACGCAGGCAGGCTTGAATTAAGTGGCATTTATTTCCCATCTCAGCTCTTGCTCCCCTACTGCAGAATGGGTGCGTAATTCGACCCTGAGCAGCCCTTCACTCTCCTGCCCATCCCCTTGACCCCACACTCATCACCAGCTGACTGACTTACAAACCACCTGCATCTGACACAAGATCATCACCCACACCGGGAGAGAAGGTGTATGTTTGTAGGAGGTGTAGCTACTGAGTAGTATCTCTCATCCTCATTCTACAATCTCGTGTTGTGGCTGGACACCAGCAAGTGAAGGGAGGAAGCACTGCCAACGCTAATGGCAGCCTGTACAGCCTCCCCACTCATGCTGGCAGCTCCTATGCTCACAGAGCAATTAATATATGTGCTTATGCCACTACTGCTTTTCACTTTTACGGGGAACTCAAGCATGGCACCTGGGATGGCAATTCCTGACCACAGACGCTGCATCAGAGTACCAACACACAGTTACTCATAGAAACTGATGGTCTCATATTTTTTCTTTTTTGCTTTGAAATCATGAATTATAAAGGAAAACACAACACAGCATCTCTTCAGTGAACTGAGTGCTGCCCCCACTGTAAGTTAGACCAAACCCACGACCGCTATGTTTTGTGACACGCAGCTAACGCCCAGCTGCCACGTCTTTTCCTGACAATTGAACACAGCCTGCAACATTCTGTCAGTGACAGGAGATGGTATTTCAGACATACTGGGTAAACATGCCTGTGCCATCTTCTGCTACTCTGACAATGATTTGTGAGGAACCCACCCAGCACATTGCCTCAGACAGGGACTAAGCTGTCTCCCCTTGGCACAGGCTTTAAACAAGGAGCTGTGCAAAACCAGGCTTTGTTGTGAGAATGAATACACCACTCTTACCTGTTCCCCTGATGATTCTCTTATTCCTGAGGACAATTTACCTTGTGACTGTGCTGCTCCTTGGGAAATTCTCCCCAGTACTCTTACCAACATCCCCTTACAGATCAGGGAACCAGCAACAGTGACTATGTCGTAAATTTCATCAGTCTCCAGCTGTCTTGTTTTAGGATCTTCTGTCCTCAAAGCCTTTTCCTATCAGATACATGGATTCTTTGTAATCTCTGCTGAATGGAGCATTTCTGTATACTGAAAAAAAAAAAAAAAAAAAAAAAAAGGAATATTTCCACCTGTATATCACTATTAAATTCAGTGGTTCATGTGGAGATGTAGCTGTAGATGTCCCTGTTCATTGCAGGGGAGTTGGACTAGATGAGCTTTAAAGGTCTCCTCCAACTCCAGCAATTCTATGATGATAACTCTTTGATGATTCTATGAGATCATGACAGTCAACTTGTAAAGATCTTCAGGGTCTGCCTATAAGGAATATGTCATGCAAGTGCCTCTGCTTACTGCCATTTCCCAGGGTTAAACAATATCTATCTGGATACATACCCTTACTCTTTCCTCCAGACATACCTCTGGCTCCGTAGCAGTGCCCTGGGGAAGCTCAGACCATTCTGCAAGTGCTGATGGTGTGAATACACATAGGATTAAGGCTGCTAGCTACGGCATGTCACTTCTGCCTGCAGCTTACTAAAGCAAAAAAGTCTTGTGGCTGACATGTCCTCCACGTCACTGGCTTACATGACACATGCCAGAGAATGTGTCAACCTTCTCCCCATCTCCTCAGCATTATTAGCCCAGGGAAGGAAATGCAGCCAAAGAACTCACATGCAACTTTGACAGGTTCTGCCTAATCCACCCACATAATGACCTTTCTTATGCTAAGTGCCAGAGCGGTGCAAGGAGACCACTGCCTGTATCAGCTGCTGGCAAGTCAAAGTTAGTTTCATGGTTATGTTTAAGAGAGAGCCTGACTTTACGTTAAGAAGTCTTTGTCTCCCGCAGTGCAGCGCTCAGAGAATGACATCAAAAGCCTTCCTAATTCACACACCCGGGTCATTTGATTGTAGGCAAGGCACAGAGCCGTGCTGCCCCAGCAGCCCGTGAGCCACAATGACATCCATGACTATCCTCTTATTCCATGGAAGGAAGTAACGTGCTCGGAGCATAACACAACCAACAGTAGATTACATCCTTCCTCATGTCAGCTTAGCCCTGCTGGCTGCTGGGGGAGGCACTGGCAAGTCTAACACAGCCTCCCACTTCCCAGTTTCACTCCTCCCCACCCCATCCTCAGGGAGCTGGGCCTCCCCAAGCTGGGACATGCCATGTGGGCAACCACACGAGAGGATTCTGCTCCAGCAGACAAGGAAGAGGACGTTCCCACTCTTCTCCAGTGTGGCAGCTACACCACATGCTGAAACATCAGACCCTCCTCCACCAGGACGAGCGTAACTGATCACGGAGATGTATCTTCTCCTCCCTTGGCATGTGTCTGTGCAATCAGTCTATCTGTTTTTGATTTATTTATTTTCAGGCTGCCTTCTGCACCCTTTCTCGGGTACGTGGGGCACACCACAGACTTGCCCTTGAAGTACACAGAAATAAAATCAGAAACAGACTAACCACATGAACCAATACAAAGGGACACAAAACACATGACTGGATGCTGCAGTTCATCAGAGATCCATCTGTCTTCGGATGTGATATAACAGCAGTCATGTACCACATTTGCAAAGGAGGCAACACATCCCTCCTCATAACCTGCCTTGTAAGGTGAAACTCTGATAGCTCAGAGAAGCCAAGGCAATACTAAAAATCATTTCAAAACAAGATACAGAAATCTGGTCTGTATTCACAAAGCTAAAGCAATAGCTTCCTATTCTGAAGTGTCTACTGTCAGTGCTATTGTTGCTTTCTGGAATTTAGGCTTGAATTTGACAGAAGTTGGGATGCAAAGACAAACGCAGAACCGCTTGTGAGAATCAGCGTATCTGTGGGCATGGGCCAGTCCTTTCCTGAGCAAATCCCTGCCACCAAGAGCTGCTGGTAAAGGAGTAACACAGATGGCAGTCAGACCTTGCTGTGTAGGTTCATACCTCCAAGGCGAGGCTGTTTAAGAATACAATTCACCATTCTTCCTGCAAATAGACAGTACAGCATAATGAACCATACCTCCTAGTGCCATTAAAATGCATGTATTATATTCTGTAACTGTTTCTTGTTTGAGTCCCAGAAGCAGTGTTGTTGCCTGGGAGGGAGTATCAAAACATTAATCAAAAATAGATGTGCAGTACAAGAAATGAGGGCCAAGCAGATGAGTATATATAGCTTCCTGCATACTGAGAATGTAGGAGCTGTCTGAAAACACTGTGATTAGAGTCAATGTGCTTGATACAGCACCACAGACATTGTACACAGCTGTCAATCCTATACTGAACATCTTATTTTATACCCTGTGGTTCTGCAGCCCCTCATCAGGTGAATGATGCAAAGATGCCATTCATGTGGCAGAACAGACAATGGAGAAACTCTCCAGACAGAACCCTCTACTTGTTTCTGGTTAGGAAGAATAATTTTTTCCTTCTTTTAGCATCAACAGAAATACAGATGCAAAAGCAAGACCTGGATAAATGAGACAAGTATTGTTCCTTCAAGCAGAATGTCCTGACTTCAAGACAGGTGAGTACTACTAAACTTTCAAAATGTTTCGTTGCCCTCCAGATAGATCATACATCTACCTTCAATCCTTCTCAGAAACTTTCGAGCATTTTGAGCTGTCACAGAAGCAAGTTAGTCCAGAGAAAAAGGAATAGGAGGGAGGGAAAAAAAAAAAAAGAAATAGAGGAAAGAGAAGAAAAAAAAAAAAAAAAAAAAAAAAAAAAAAGAGGATGCCCTAAATTCCATTGTCAACTTCTCAGATACAGCCACAGAATTTTGCATATCTGCATGAAGACTTTGCCTATATGAGTTAGCAAGAACTTGGTGCAGCTGTATAAACAGCAGATTTCTACACCTACGGGCCTTCATTTATTTCCTCCAGTGAGATTTTAAATTTGATTGGCAGCTGGCCTATCTGGGCAGCTGATAAGAGAAGAAAAAAAAATGACACTCCAGTCTTTATATCTCTGTAGCCTTTCCTCTGGTTCTCATGGTAGAAGTGTACAGAGAACTAAAGAGCTCTCAATACATTTGTAGCCAAATATTTACCCTAAGTGAGGTAGATTATATTTACTTACTGTATCCATTGCCACACTGGCACACGTTCAAGACTAACTCCTTGTGGTATTATTGAATACCTTGAAAAAAAAAAAACAAAAACCTTTGTTTACAACAAACCATTCGCCAATGACTGCACATTCTGTGTTGTCCAGGGTATAGGAGCTGTTGAGCTCACGTGTCGGACACTTTGTCTAGTGCCACAGACACAGCCCCAGGGATGGTCCTGGCAGGTGGCCGGTTTACCTGAGTCCTTTGCAGGATTACTAAGAGTATTTTGAAATTCTCTCAGGCGTTTCACTGAGAGCGAATGTAATTAAGCCATGTTCAGTGGGAATTTATTCCTTCAGAAGATACAGCTTGTTTTCAATCAGCATGCCTTTTTGAGAGCGTATTTATTTTGACAAGGTTTTAATGGAGACAAATTCAAATAACATTTACGTTCAATGACAGTAATAGCACTGTTTTCATAAAGTAAAAACATTTAAGTATCCCTTGCTTCATTTCAGTTTGTTTTGAACTTCATAGCATATATTTAACATAAACATATACTTTAACCTCTTTTCCTACTAAATTAAATATTTTAATGACATTATAACTTCCAGACTTTCTGGTGTGCGAACTATTTGATGTTTTTGGAACACTTCCATCATACCAAATAATTTTTTTTTCTGAATTTTCATTTGTGAAAACTTCAGCACCTTTACTTCTTTTTCCACGTAATGGAAATACTGTTTCCTGACCAGCTCTGCTAAAATTTCTTCCTCTATCTAAAAAAGAAAGGGGGAAGGGTGTCACAGACACAGAACTGTAAACTCCTCAGGATGCATTTCTCATTGTTGGCTCATATGTTGCCCTCTTTTGGTAGCTTTTGTACTGTACTACACATAAAAATCTTAACATTGCTGTAGCAACTCTGCATCCTAAAGTGTCCGAGTGCTGAACGTTAGAGCTAAATTACTGTGTGAGAAGAACAGTAAGTTGCAAGTTAATTACTTGAACCATCTTAAAGAGACATCCTATCCAGGCAGAAAAATAAATAAGGGATGAATGAACTGGACAGTAACAGGCACTAAGAAAGAAGCAAAAGGAGAAGAAAATGTAGATATTCACTCACGTAAATGATTTAACCCCATATCCTGACTTCCATCCGGTGAAGACAAACACAGCTTTGAAGCATGTGGTCAATCAACATTTGTAAAGGGAAGTTCTACTCTAATCATCATTCACTTACTCTTTCCCACTTGCTTTTTATCCTAACCTATGTAGGGATTTTATTAAATTCTTGTGGATACTGACTAGTCAAGCCCAGAAGAGTGTCTCCTAACTTTCCAAGACTAAATGCCTGCCATAGCCAACACTTCTTTTCACTATTAAATTTCTTACACTAAATATTAGATGTTCTTTTACACAAAATGAATTGCTAACTCTAATTATGAAACCATCAGATATTAATTACACTGGAATTCTAAAATCATTATTTGAGTGAAACACCGAAGTGTCGGTCATTTTTCAGAAAGGAGTTTTTTCTTCTGTTTCTGAGGAAAAATTAAAAAATAAATAAATAGCAATTCAGTTTGTCACAAAAGTTTAAGTGACTGGGTATTCACCTTCTCTTGGCTTTCAGTAAGAGCTGAGTACTGACTCCGCCAAAATGCCATTCTTTGAGAACAGGCTGCTCTCTACTCCAGATAATTCTGTTACAAGAACAATAAATGGCTACACAGAAGAGATATTCCCAGCATATTTGTGATTGGACATTTCACAGCTCTATTCTTTAAAGATTAATTTTCCTTGGTTCGAAAATCAGCATCAGGAATTCAGTCTCACAGGAATTCTTTTATAAACAGTCGCAGAGATGATTTCAGAGGTCATAAAGCAGACATTCTTCCCACCTTGAATTGTAGAGTATTTGTAGCAACTTCATATGATCAGAAATTCTTGGAATCAGGAAGCACTCCCAGCATTCCAACATAAAGACATAAAGCTATTCTTTATAGGCATTCTCTGGTGCTTTATTCAAATCTATCCTAAAACCCCCCAGCAGTACGAATTCCCCCTAGAGGAATATCTGACAATCTTCCCCTTCTCACCTTTAAACAATTCACACCCAAGAGGCTTCATTTTGCTGTCTTCATCACTTCCAGCTAAACAATGCCGGCTGGTTTAAGCCTCCTTTGCCGAGCTTTGTTCCAGGGGTAAGAAACAGCCCAGCTTTATAGAAATACATGCCTTCCTGCTGATTTCCATGCAGACAATATTGTGCCTTTCAGTGCTCAGGGGCACGTCACCTTTCCTCTCAGGTCTGTCCAAGCTGTCTATTGAAGTGCTTAAGTATGTGCCCTGTTAAAGCTGATATGTGGTTCCTTTGTTAAAGTCACCTAGCAGGGCTACAGAGGGAGTTGAAAGTCACCAGTACAGCTCATGTACTTAGTTAAGTTTATACTTAATGGCATGCTGGATTTCTGCTTCAGTCTTTCCCCCAAAGTGATTTTTCCACCCTTTGAATTGCTATGGGATTTCTTCCAAGTCCTTCCAGCCAGTCAGTGGCTGGCAATATTGAACACAGACTAGAACTAATAGCATAGAGCTTTACAAGTGAACTATTACCTCTCCACTTCATGACATATGCCTGAATGTGCATAGCTTCTACAATACTACAACTTCATGTATCATTTCATACATATACTACAATTTCATGTATCTGATCTGCTGTCCACTGTGCCCTGAAAGCTATCAGCAATAGTGATAGCTAGGACAAGTACATTCCAGCTTCCTTCCTTTCCTCCTCTTCTTCTTTTTGCTTCCTCTCCTCCTCCTCTTCTTTCCCCTTCTGTTCCTTTCCATTTCCTTCCCCTTTTCCTTTCATTTTCCCTTCCTTTTCTCCTCCTTTTCCTATCTTCCCCTCCTCCTTCTTTCTTTTCGTGAGTTGTTTGGGAGCTGTTTTCTTTTGCACACAGCTTTCTAATATCCAGCAGTGCTTTGATATCATTTATCTGCTGTCTTCTGTTTACATTCCTTCCTGGTTTAGTATCATCAGCACATTTCACTATTGTGCTGTTTACCTCTACTTTGAGATTACCAATGGAGATATTAAACAGAATGATGTCTGTCAAAAGTCCCTGCCATGACCCACAAGACATTTCTACAAGCTGCGATAACACAGCAAGTGATCGTTACCCTTTGTTTACATTCTTTCTCCCATTTCAGTCTACACAGCAGTGCTCCCCGCCAAAACAATTAAAGTTATTTTTCTCAACGTGAGTACCTGAAACAGTAGCAAATGGCATAGTCAGTGGACCCTGTATCCACTGTCCCATCTTCCCATCCAGTCTGTTTATCTCTCAATACATTTACTGTGCATATTGCTTAGTTTGCTTTGTACCACACTGTGTGCAGCCTAAAGCCTTGGTCCTCAAATCTGCAATATACAGAACGTGCAATGTTTATACTAATGTGAAAGGTACATTTAATAAGCTTTATTCTTTCTGACTCCGTGCTGCTTTCTGTTCTGATACTGTTTGTCTCAACGCTTCCATGAAATTGGTGGATGTCTTAGCTGTATGAAATAGGCATTTGGCCTAAAATGTTTAAAACATTTTTCTTGATTTACAGTTTTTGAGGCCAGAGAGGACCATTAACTCATCCTGACTAACCTCTTCTGTGTCACAGACTATAGCATTGCATCATTCCCTGTACACCAAGCTCAGGAATTTCTGTTTGGCTAACATGCATTCCCCAGAAATATATCCAGTTTTGATAGGTACACTAGCACTTTCTTGAGCAGCTTCTTTCAGCAGTTCATCACATTTAGTGCTACAGTTCCAAGCCTCATTACTTTCTTAAAATTTCTTGACTTACATTTCCACCCACTGATTCTTGCAATATATTCATCTGTTAAAAAGTTAAGACACTTTTTGTTGTTGTGAAGGTAATTACACAATGTAATCCAGCCGTCTCACTTCGATAAAGGAAACAATGCATATTTTCCAGTCTAGAAGCAGTGCTTATATTTTTCTTACTCGTTCCCAAATTTCCAGCACCCACAGCAGTGTAATACACCATTGCCATACAGTCATTATTATATACAACTCAAACATCCCTACTAACTTATTCAAAGATAATATTAATTCTCCTTAGCGTCATCAGACTGAGTCCTATTTCCAGTTGTTACCCCACGGTGATACCAAATATTTCATGTACCACCTTGGGATATAGTTTCTGGTCACTACTACCATCATTACTTAAAATTCATCTTGCTTGCAGAAGTCCAGCCCAAAAAATTTGGGCTGCTCCAACCTCATAATTTCTCATTCCACCAAATTTACATTTCCTCCCTAGTTGACTAGTCTTGTTTTAATAGGGATGGATTTGTTTCTCAATCACTGAGGAAAATTTTGTGCAGGACGACTCTGGAGCTTTCATTCAGAGCTGGTAGTGACTTACTGGCATCTCTCAGTTAG